TCGGATTTTTGTAGAGTATCTGCACCCAGGCTCGGAACACGGGCCCGAAGTTGTTGGCGATGAGGGTGTCGTGCATGTAATTGTGTGATTTCTGTCAAAAGCTTTCTCCTGGTCCAAGGACAGGAGAGAGGCAGGACAGTTTTTCTCGTGCGTGTAGGTGATTATGTCTCTGATGTAGTGCGCGTGTGAGAAGACTGACCGTCCCGGCACCCCACACTGCTGGTCTGGGTGTATGAGTGTGTTTAGATGATGTTTCAGGCGGCGTGTGAGTGTTTTAGTGAGAATCTTGTAGTCGACATTAAGAAGGGATATAGGACGATAGTTTTTGATAAGAGTTTTTGTCTGCGCCGTCTTTGGGGATTAGGGAGATGTAAGAGGTATTGAATTCGTCAAGAAATTGACCTTTAGCGAAAGCTTCCTCGTAGACTTTTAGAAGGAGTGGACCTAACAGGTGAAAGAAAAATTGGAAAAATTCGGCAGAAAGGCCGTCACTACCGGGAGATTTGAGAGGCTTCATGTCAGATAAGGAATTCGTAATTTCTAAAAGCGTTATGGGACTGTCGAGAGCGTCACGTTGTGCGTCGTTCAGTCGTTTGGCGTGTCGTAGAAACCGGTTCTGTTCCTGTTCGTCGGTCGCTTCTGATGTAAATAGGTCGGCGTAGTATTTGTGGAATGCTTGTGTAATTTGTGAGGGATCCGTGTGAGTGTTTCCCTCGGTGTCTGTGATCTTTTGTATCTGTCTATTGTGCTGGATGTTCTGTTCGATTGCTAGATATTGTTTGCTGGGCGTCTCTTGTGTGATTGTGTTAAGGCGTGTCCTAAGCAAGGCGCCCAGAAATCTATGCTGCATGTGTTGTCCTAGTTCAGTCTCTAAGGTCTGTATGTGTGGGTCGTGTCTGTCTGTCATTTTCGTCATTCGAATCGCAGTCCGTAGAATTTCTTCCGTTTCCCGTCTCTGTCGGTGTATGAGAGATGCTAGAATCTGTGTTCTGGATCTAATCGTGTTCTTCAGCATCTCCCAGTGTTCTAGGTAGTTGTCGACCGGTGCGTCGTCGGTATAGAGTTGGATGATAGAAGATATTTGAGTCGTGAAGTCCGCATTCTGGAGAAGAGAGTTGTTGAATTTCCAGTGCGGAGACCGTCTGAAAGGTTGTGTGTTTGTGTTAAGTGGCTCGATGTGTGTCAGTATTGCTTTGTGGTCTGTAAAATCTAGTGTTTCTGACAGGTGTTTGCATGTAATGATGTGGTGCGTTTTGGGGATGTATGTCCTATCTAGTCTAGCAGATCTGTTGTGGGATATGCTTTTGTGTGTGGTGTCAGATTTGTTCGGGTATTTCTCCCTGAAAGCATCTGTTAAGTTAAACAAAGCCAGAGTAGGGCTTCAAATGACAAAAAAGGACGAAACTGGATATAATAATATTTAGGGAAATCCCATATTATAAAGGGGGGGGGGGTAGGGTTAGTGGTAAATAAATGGTGACTACTACTCACCATAACTCTAACCCCCCTATAAAATAAGATGTCCCTAAATCACGCGTGATATGGTCTCTAAACAGAAAAAGAACCGACAGCTATTTTAAGATCTAACAGAAACAAACAAAAATATCATACTTACAACAAACGCCAGAACCTTACCTCTGTTATAATCCAGGTATACAAAGGGACAATACCCAATATTATGTTCATTGAATAGAAGTAAAAGGAGATGAACATTGGGTTCCTTCCCTTGACCCGCTCGTACCAAAGTTTGATAGCAACCAGAACCTGCAAACGCATTGTTGAATGTATGTACTTTGAATATATTTACATGTGCAAAGTAGAAAAAACAGCTAATGTTAATGGAAATAACATGTTAAGAATATCGTGGTCTGTGAGAAAAACGGAGCGGCTGGCCGAGCGGTTACAACGGCGTCACGTTTAACTGCAATAGTCGTCCCCTTCGTGGGATGCAATTTTTTTGTTTGAAGCCCCACCCTGGCTTCTGTCAGGGCTCTGAATATATCCGGGGTATAGATATGGCCTAGCCATAGTTATGGCGTAACCGCTAAAAGTGCTTTCTAAGACCTCTCCACGGGTAATCCTCATCCGCATGGTGGCACTTTTGTTTTTTGCTTGTGTGATGTCCTGGTGGGGAACAAATACCTACCTGCTTACCTACAACCGCGTCAAGCTCTCGTGCCGGAGACCCGAGCTCAAGCCCCGGTGAGGTAATTGCATTTTTCTATTCGGGGGCAAAAGTAAAACATCCTGACTTGTTCAGTCCGTGGCGACCTCACTAGCCATGTCGCTCTAAATCCTCAGGCTCGTAACCCCTGTCTACGACGCTCTAAAAAGTGGTAAATACTTAGGTTTCTACGTGTGTGCCATAGATTTCCACGTGTGTGCCATAGATTTCCACGTTTGTGCCATAGATTTCCACGTGTGTGCCATAGATTTCCACGTGTGTGCCATAGATTTCCACGTGTGTGCCATAGATTTCCACGTTTGTGCCATAGATTTC